CATGCTGAGCCCAATGGCTGGGCGATTGACCATCTCAGTCCGATCCGCTCGTAGGTACTCTTTGCAAAAAGCCACTTTATCGAAGATAGTCTCTGGCTTCTGTAGTCCGAGCACACCTGCGTTGGACACGCCAAAGTCGTTCATCTGGATCGCGGCCAAGTTGCGCGTCATCATTTTCGGAATTGGGAGATGGATATCCCACAATCTGTCGCCCGTTGTCCACGGCTTTCGGCCGCTGAATTTCTCGGCCGACCTTGGGACGAAGCTCGTTGCGCGGGAGGCCATGATGTCGGTGCTGAAAGCGGATAGGGAGGCTACCACGTTTGACACAGGATGCTGCTGTGTGTGCACGCATCATCTCGGTCTAAGTCATGCGCTTCTGCCCGTCCGGTGGCATCAGTCCCATCAAAGGTGCAAGCACGCGATCTCTGATGTGCTTTCCAGGTGCCCTCTCTGTTTTGCACATGGCTGGACTTCTCGGATCCCCGGCTTCTAGCTACCAATGTACAGCAAAGGGCCCGTCTAGCCCTGACATCCGGCACGCTGCTCGGTTGGCCTTGAGGCTAATCCTGACAGCTCCTAGGATCCTAAGTTACAACCTACGCATGTACAGCATAGGGCCAGTATAGCCCTGGCACAAACGGCACAACCAACACGTGGAAAAGGGAACGACGCGCATGCCAATTATGGGGGAACCACTTCACGGGGCGGTGCTTTGACCGCGCATTGCTCAGACCTCGGAACGTACATGGAAAGGCCAGCCTGGCTCTGACATTACAGAGGCCGCAGAACTCCGTCAGGGTGTGTCCTGGGACCTGAGTTGACAGGCGAAAGTAGTCTGCTTGCAATCTTTCATGTGAATTACAGGGAACAGAGATGTCAAAGTGCGCCGGAAAGGTACGTACAAGGTCCGGAACCGAGGTGGTCCGCCAGCAAGCAGCGATCACAGCGACGACGGCACCGCGTAGCCAGACAAGCCACGGACACCCGCTTGGAGCAGGGCCAGACCAGAAGTTCACAAGGAAGGGAAAGATGCGCATGACCTCGTGGGGAAACTGCTCCATTTAGGACGCGCAAGGCTGCTTCTGCGACGAATTCGGGTAATCTCCAAAAAACCTTCGGAAATTCCAGTACATTCAATCATTTCCGGTAAGCTCTAATAGAATTCCAATAACTTGCAGAGGCTTCTGAAAAATCTGGTAAATCACGCAGCCGCTAGGTCCGGAGCGAGGTGGTCCACCAGCAAGCAGCGATCACAGTGTTGATGGCACCGTAGCCACAGAGCCACGGACGCCAGCTTGGACCAGGGTCCACAAGGAAGGGAAAGGCGCGCATGACCTCATGTAGAAACTGCTCGCAGTGAATTCTGATTAATTCAGGCAAATCACGCGAGATTCTGCTAAATTCGGGTGAATTCTCGTAAATGCCAGTAAATAACGGTAAATTCCAATAAGCTCCATTAAATTCCCGTGAATTGCCAAAATTCCGAGGCAGCAAGGAAAATCTTGTATTCTTGAATTACAGAGTCAAATGTTTGTCAAGTCCAAAGGAAACTAAACAAAGAGGTGCCTGATCCATTGGCGAGTTTCTCCATCCGCGGCTTGGCAGGGCGGTTCGTCTACCATTCGTTTCAGAGTTGCAGATTCCAAAGCTTGCAGAAAAGGCCCGAGGCCCCGAGCTGGTGCCCAGATTGCCACGGACTCAAGCCACTGCTCGATGAAGCTCACGCAACAAAGGTGTTTTTACCGTTAGAGAAACTAGGATTTAAAACTACAAAATGGAAGCACATGACACGCTGCGGTCGAGCCCATAAGATGCCCAAAACGCAGCCTGACACCCCCCTCCCTAGCCCAGCTGCCCCCTGAATTAAACAGTTTCTCGCGTCCATGTCTGCCAGTGCACGCATTCAAACACGGAAATTTTCGAAAAAGGATCCGTCCCCCGTTTTCAAACTTTTGGGGGTCAACGTCTCCAAGTCCGAGCGGTTAAGCCCAGAAATTTTCGAAAAGGATCCTCCCCCCCCCACCCCCCGTATTTTCCAATTTTTTGGGGGGCAGCGTCTCCAAGTCCGAGCGGTCAAGACCAGAAATTGTCGAGAAGGATCCTCCCCCCCGTTTTCAAATTTTTGGGGATCAACGTCTCCAAGTCCGAGAGGTCAGGCCCAGAAATTTTCGAAAAGGATCCTTCCCTCCGTTTTTCCCAAATTTTTGGGGGCCAACGTCTCCAAGTCCGAGCGGTTAAGCCCAGAAATTTTCGAGAAGGATCCTCCCCCCCGTTTTCGAATTTCTGGGGATCAACGTCTCCAAGTCCGAGCTGTCACGCCCAGAAATTTTCGAGAAGGATCCTCCCCCCTGTTTTCAAATTTTTGCGGGTCAACGTCGCGATCTTCCGCGAAACCTGTTACAACCAGCTGTTGTAGCATGATCTTCCGCGAAACCTTTTGCAACCAGCTGCTTCCACGAAACCTTCTGCAACCAGCTGTTCTATCACGATCTTCGAAACCTTTTGCAACCAGCTGCTTCCGCGAAACCTTCTGCAACCAGCTGTTTACGTGAAGCCCTTCCCAACCAGCCCTCTGAAGCACAGACTTCCCGAAGCCGGGAATCTGCCAAACGCTTTGGGACCGACAGCGCGGAAGGAAGAGGGTTTACACACAAGAGGCCATGGCAAAAGCTTTGCAGTAAAAGGGCCCAGACTCCTGGAAGAAGCCCTTCTCGAATCTGGAGGACCAAGTCGAAGACGAAGTCCAAGCCACACCCAGTCCAGCGACCATCATCCAGCAGCCGCCGGCCAGTAGAAGAAGTCCAACCGCAGCGCCGCCAGCAGCCATCCACGCGGCCAGCAACCCACCGCCAAGCAGATCGCCAGCACCTGTTCAGGGACAGGTCTTGCAACAAGTACAATGCCAAGGAGCGAGCACCCCTAATCAAGTACTCACCCCTACCCTAGAACCTTAGAAACAACCAGTGAGGATGAAATTCCGCCAAGTTGCTTATGCTCTCGATCAGCCACCGAAACGGCTGTCCGCTTCAGAACCGGAAGAGCCTGCACCGAGTAGAGATCTCGAGGAGCGTTTCCACTACCAATGCGTCCCCATGTCCTGGAATTACACCCACCAAGGGAAACAAAACCCTGTGCTTCGAGGAGCGCACCAAACCCTCTGGCACAGAGACAGGACTTCATAACTGTCCGACGCTCTCTGGGCAGTTTTTAATCTCCAAGAGAAGGTATCAAAGACATCTGTTTCCTGCCTTCGATGATCCAAAAAAAGGAAGAAAACGACGACCTTAGAACACCCTAGCCTACCTCTGTCACCCATAAGTAGGTTCTATTGGCCCTAGGCTAGACTCGCGTACCCAAAAGTAAGCCGAGCCACGACACCCGAAGAAAAGCAAAAGCTTGACCACCATGTGACCCAGCATCCGTG